TCGACCTGTTTGTTTCCTCTCCACCTATCCTCTCCTCTATCCCTCTTCTATCCGCCTCCCACTCTCTCCCTATTTATTTCAGAACCCCCTTCCCCTCCCCCTTTTCTGATGAAGGGTCTAGGCCCGAAACGTCAGCCTCTCTGCTCCTATGATGCTGCTTGGCCTGCTGTGTTCATCCAGCCCTGCACCCTGTTAGAGGTTCTGTTCACTCTAAGAGCTGGATCTGAGGAAGCTGGATCTGTATCAAGGGACTCTCCACGTGTGATTAAAGGGTGACTTGGTAATGGGATACCAGTCTCTGTGGAGTTATTTCATACGCAAGCAACAGTCCTTTTAAGATAATGTCTGTTTTAACGGTTCTGTAGAATGCAAGGCTGGGTACAACATAGAATACAGAACAGTACAGCACAGGAACAGGCCCGTCAGCCAACCAGGTCTATACTGACCATGATGCCATTCCAAACTAATCCCATCTCCCTACATAAATAAAAATCGAAAGAACTGCCAATGCTGTAAATCAGGAAAAATAAAGTTGCCAGAAAAGCTCAGCAGGTTTGGCAGCATCTGTGAAGGAAAAACAGAGTTAACATTTCGGGTCCAGTGATCCTTCCTCAGAATGTTCTTCGGAAGGGCCACCGGACCTGAAACGTTAGCTCTGTTTTTCCTTTCACAGATGCTGCCAGACCTGCTGAGCTTTTCCAGCAACTTTGTTTTTGTTCCGTCTCCCTACAGAGATGGCCCGTTTCCCTCTATTCCCTGTCTGTTCATTTGTCCATCTAAATGCCTCTTTAACTTTGCGAACACATCTGCTTCTACCACCTCCACTGTGTTCCAGGGGCCTATCACCCTCTGTCTAAAAATCTTTCCTCACACATCTCCTTTAAACTGTTCCTGTCACCTTAAACTTATTGCCCCTTAGTACTTACATTTCCACCTGGGAAACCCAACCACACCTCTCTTAATGTTATATATTTCTGTTACTATGGAAATATCAGAAGGAGGCCTGCTCCCTACTCTCACTCCCCTACCGCTGTTCTCAAAGAGTTGTAAATCTCTCAAATGCTTTCCAGTTCTGAGGAAAGGTCATTGTATGAAAAGGCTAACACTGTCCAGAGATGCTGGTTGGCCTGTCGAGTACCATAAGCTGTTCCTGTTTAGAATGCATTGGTCCTACTACCACAGTATTTAACAGCTACGTTAGTAATGGTCATAGATCCCTACAGTGTGGAAGCAGGCCTTTCGTGCCATCAGGTCTACACTGACCCTCTGAAGAGCAACCCACCGAGACACACCTTCCCTATCCTATCCCTGTAACCCTGCATTTCCTATGTCTAATCAACCTCGCCTGCACATCCCTGGACATTACGGGTAATTTAGCATGGCCAATCCACCTAACCTGCACATCTTCGGACTGTGGGAGGAAACTAGAGCACCTGGAGGAAACCTATGCAGACAGTCACCCAAGGGTGGAGCTGAACGCTTGAGAGAGCGGTGCTAACCACTGAGCCACCGTGCCTTCCTTCTCGCTCCTTAGGTGCATCTCATCCACTCCGGGTGCCCTGTCAAGTTTTCTATCCAAGATTTCTTCCTTATTAAATTTTGAATCCCTCTCATGGCACAGACTGAAAGGTCTCCAAACAAAACTTTAGGCAATGCATTTTTTGTTGGCCATATTGGAAGCGTCATTTAATCGTGGATGACTCTTAGTGGTTTCAATATTAACCAATGTAGCATATCAATTAGAGGCACAGGCTTGTAGGAATGTGGGGACAGAAAAAGGTGATTGAGCCCCTCTAATCTCTTCCTCATTTCGGCTAATCTATACTCCACCTTCTTTCACGCCTGTGGCTGACAAACAAAAAAAAAACCATCAATCTCAGACTTAAAAAAGATTACACGAGCTAGCTGCAGCATTGGTGTCTGGGTCTTCAGCTGCTGGGAATCCCCTCACAACACTTGTCCGCCTGAAGACCCAGCTCTTTGAACAGGTTTTTGAGCTAAATGTGGTCGAGCAACATACTTTAGCTTTACAGTGCTCCTGCGGATCGGTCTGTGATGTGAAAAGTGCTATCTAAATATAAGTTGTTATAATATCTACTGTTTCTGTGAAAGTGGTTCGTAACTTTCACGACACCTTGCAGAGTCCACTCTGAATGGCCAGGCCTAACGTTTTCCCCATCTCCTGGGCTGTCCCACCAACAGATGACATTTCTCTCTACTTTTCTGAGTTTTCAACATCCTAAGGGGTCTGGACACAATAGAGAAAGTGTTTCCACTCATAAAAGGATCAAGGCCAGGGGCACAGTTTTAAAGTGCTTCACAAAAGAAGTAATTGCGAGTAGTTAGTGTCTGGGAGCGCTGTGTGGAAATCTGGTGGAGATCTTCAAGAGGGTGATTATTTAAATAGAAACAAAGCTGCAGGGTTACAGTGAAAAGACTGGAGACTGGCATTAAATATAAATGTTCAGAGAGCCAGTGTGGGTCACACTGGGCTGAATGGCCTCCATCTGTACTATTACAATGCTGTCATTCTGTGACCTTTGTTTCAAAATCCTCAATTAACTCATGCCAAACCTTCCAATGTGTGACCACCACCGAGAGATGAATTAGTTAGTTTAATAGATGTTAACCGGTTAACAAAAGTGCTCGTAGATTAGTCATGAGTTTGAACATTTACCAAAGACACCACAGCGAAGAAATAAAATCCATTTGTGTGAATACAAATTACTTATCAGCATTACACAAGGAGGCCTTTGAGCCCATTATTCCTGTGATAGCCCTACTGCCTAGAAGGGTGGTTGAAATAGAAGTTGAAAGGGGGAAAACATTACTGGGCTGTGAGGGAACAGCAGGAGCGAGAATTAATGGGATAGGTCTTTTAAAGAGCCAGCACTGCATTTATGGCCCCAGTGGCCCCTTAATGCAATTTTCTCCCCTTTCAACTTCTGTTTCTACCACCTTTTCAAACAGTATGTCATAATTCACTGCCTTATAAAACAAAAATCACCCATCTCACCTCTAGTTTGATTTCCAATTACCTTTAAATCCACGACTGCTGGTTAGTAACCCTCCGAATTATCCAAATATTTAACCACTTCCCTTTTAAAGCTTTCATCAATCACTCCAGTCGAACATACCAGAGTTTAACAGCCTACTGCATTTTATAAAAAATAAATCCTCCCTAACCTCTCCATTAAAAGGGAGAGAGTTGATCACTTTTCCTAGCCTTGAATGGAAAAAATATTTTTCGAAATGAGTCGGATGTAAGCTCTGTCTTTGTAGAGACGCCAATCAGAATGTGGGCATTTTTTTACTGCTCTTCCTCCTTGCATTATTCTCGTGCAATGCCTTTGATAGGGACTGAGACACGGCTGTTATTGAGCCACAGAGTCATTAGGGCAGAGGCCATTCAGCTCATCGAGTCACTGCCTGCTCTCCATAAAGCAGTCCTTCCAGTTTCACTCCTCTGCTTTATGTCTGTCAGCCTGCCTGATTTATTTACCTCAGATACCTATCCAAATTCTGTTGGTGGTGATGCAGAGCACTCCTTCACTGAGACTCGCAGCCCTGCTCCATATGGAGAACTCACCTACTCTGAGAGCTCAGGAACCATGTCCCACAAACAAAGCTGGTTTACAACTGAGCCATTAGACCGCACTATGGTGCAGTATTCCACTTGGGAATGCAGAATGGGCAGATGGAGACATTGTAAAAAAAAAACCAAGTGGCTGTCAGAAAACCAATTCCACCCACAAAACGCAAAGAACAACACAGCACAAGAACTGGCCCTTCGGCCCACCAAGCCTGCTCCGATTCCTAATCCTTATTTAGACCTACTACTTACTGCTCGTGTGTAGTATCTATCTCTCTGTTCGCCTCCCGTTCGTGTATCTATCAAGATACGCCTTAAACATTGCTAACGTGCCTGCCTCCATCACCTCCATTGGCAGTGTGTTCCAGGCACCCCTCACCCTCTGTGTGAAAAAACTTCTCCCCTAAACTTTCCCCCTCTCACCCTGAACCTGTGCCCTCTTGTAGTTGACCTTTCCACCCTGGGAAAAGGCCTCTGACTATCCAACCTATCTATGCCTCTCATAATTTTGTCAACCTCTATCAGGTCACCCCTCAGCCTCCATCTTTCCAGTGAAAACAATCCAATCTCCTATTAATATATATAGAGAGAGAACTTTAACCACTGATTTAATGTCTGCAGTCTATCTATGTTAGAGATATTGCAACCATAGGCACACCTGGACTCACCTGACAGATGTAGCTAACACACAAACACATCAGGAAATCATAAACCGGTCAATGCTGTTCTTAAACAAAAACAAAGTTGCTGGAAAAGCTCAGTTTTGAGGAAGGGTCACCAGACCCAAAACGTTAACTCTGTTTTTATCTTCACAGATGCTGCCAGACCTGCTGAGCTTTTCCAGTAACTTCTGTTTTTGTTCCTGATTCACAGCATCTGCAGTTCTTTCGGTTTTTATAATGTTTTTTCTTAAAGATTGGGTCTAAAACACAGAAACAAGCCATTCAACCTAACTGCTTCATGCTGGTATTTATGCTCCAGACAAGACTCCTCCCAACCCTGTCCTCAAATCCTTCTATTCCTTACCAATTAAATACTTTGACATCAAGAAACAGAGGAAGCATTTTTGTTTAAATAAAAGAGAAAAGAGACCAGGACAAATGGGCTCCAGGTGGGTGGCTTTGCTCAGACTGTGCTACCTAGTCAGCTCAGTTACTGGATGGCCGCTTTGCAATGCAGGGCGATGCCAACAGTGTGGGTTCAATTCCTGCACCAGACGAGTTTACCATGGATTACTCTCCTTCTCAACTTCTCCCCTTGCCTGAGGTGACCCTCAGGTTAAACTGTCACCTGTTGTCCCACTCTCTAATGAGAGAGCAGTCCTATGATCTGGTAAAATTATGGTGACTTTACTATATGTTAGAAGTTAAATTTATCTGTTGATTAAGATGTACCAGTAGCCACTTACAGCAAAGGAGTCAATTCCACAGAAACCAGTGCCAGGCTTGTCTGCTCTCTCAGATGCAACATCTACTGATATCTCTTGGGCTGGCTTCTTTGGAATGTCTGGTTTTACAGCCTAAACAGAGGAGGGACAGGTAAAGATGAAGATTCACCCACAGCAAGGACATTTAAAGACTAAGGTTTCAGTAACATGTTGATTTGATAATAAAAAGTTCCCAGAAGAATTGTTTTTTCTGCTCCAAGCCATGGAAAGCGGTCAGTTCCACCAATTCAGCCTCACATTGTTTCAACTTGGCGAAGTGTTTTGGGAATGCTTGAGCTCCAGCTCCCCCTGGTGACTTGCCAGGTTAAGGCAGCCAAGTCAGGGGAAATGGAAAGCTCTAATCTCCCCCACGCCCCACCACCCGGTCCGGGAGGGGGATGCTGGTGGGGCAGGGGGCAATATGAACTGCAAAGTTGCCTTCAGTGTCCAGTTCCACTTTACAGAACAGGAGATTAAGGCATGGGTGTCTGCTGCTATCCCCGACTACAAATGGCCATCCATGGATGTCTTAGGAACAAGAGTACAGGATAGGGCCATTCAGCCCATGGAAGGTGTGCCATCTCCTTGAAAGACCAACCCAATTACTGCTCCTCCTCTGCTCTTTCCCCACAGACTTACATTCCCTTTTCAATCGTATTGTTAATTCTTCTTTTGCAAGTCTGCTTTCACCGAACCTTCGGGCAGCAAACTCTAGACCCTAACAAAACCTATAAGACTCTTCTTCTCTCTGGCTCCTCTGTTAGTAGCTCCCTGGCTTCCTGCCTGCAGAAACTCTTTCTCCTTCTTTACTCTCCCGAAAGCCCTCAATAATGTTGAAATACCTTTTGCTTAATCGCTCGTCGTTGCTGGTCAGAGAACAATTTCAGTGTCTCACACCGCATCTCTGGCAACTGAAGCTGTTCAGCTCCACCCCCGCCCCATCTAGTAAGGACCGAATAATATAGGTTTTTAACTGAACCCCTACAGAGTGTGTCAGAGATGGAAATGGTAAGTGATGCACAGACTGGGACTAAATGACTGACTCTAAATGCCCGGACTCTAGTGGCTCAGTCAATGATTTATGAGTCACCAGCAGTTCCCTGGCAGTTGGGGTGCAGCATTTACTGTGACTGAAATGTGTGGATAGCAGCTTGACTGGAAATATTTATAAGCGATGCGGTCGTCGAAATAAAATTGTGATCTGTGGCTAGTAGCATTTTGAAAAGATGGCAGTTTAATACACTTCAACCCTTGGGAACAAGCTTTTAAAATCTTTACTTTCATTTTATAGACTTGTACAGTGCAGAAAAGGCTCTTTAGCCCATCGAGCCTGCACTGACATAACTACCACTTAAAGTGCGCTCATCCTAAGTTCCTGCACTTGTCCCCTATCCTTCAATCTGATGATATCTGAGGTACTCATTTAAGTTTTTTTTTAAAGGTTGAAAGGTTTCCAGCCTCCACTACCTCCCCAGGCAGTGTGTTCCAAGTTCCCACTACTTGCTGAGTGAAAAAAGTTTTTTCCCCAAATCCCCTCTGAATCTCCTGCCCCTTACCCTAAAACTATGCCCTCTTGTGACTGACCCCTCAACCAAGGGGAACAGCTGATCTCTACTCATCCTGTCCATACCTCTCATAATCTTATACACCTCAATCATGTTCCCCCTCAGACTTCTCTGCTCTAATGAAAACAATCCAAGTCCATGTAGTCTTTCCTTATAGCTCAATTTCTGCTTGCTGGATTGATAGTTGGGTCATTTTTTGCACTTGGACCAATGGCTGACCAAAAATAGCATGAGGAGAAATTTGGAGGTAAACAGCAAGACCAAATGGAGAATGAAAGTTAACTGAATTGGGACCTGCCAATGTTATCAGTTCAAAACTTTAAGTGACTGTTCACCTGCACAGTTTTCTTCCTTTTTACAGGGAGCTCAGACGACCTAGACTCAATTGGTTTACTCTTCGTGACAGGTGGGTTCTTCAAAGGATTGTGTCTCGGCACAAGAAAGCTTCCTGAAGGTCGACCAACTCCATCAGTCTGGAAGAGGGTACAGGGGCTCATTATTGTCGCACATATTTAAAACTGTGTCAAAAATAAAAAAAAAACAGGAGCTGGGCTTGAATCTGTCCAAGGAAGAGGCTTTCATTGAGTCAGAGTCACTAATGTCACCATGGGGCCGTTCAGCTCATTGGCTGTCTGTATAACAGTCAGTTAAACCCTTTCCCCCCACTCCACCCTAGAGCTGTGCAAGTTTTTTCTTCCTTCAAGCGATTATCCAACATCCTAGTGACGGCCTTTGTGGGCAGTTTCAGGCCATAGCCCCCCTCGCGACGAGGATAGGAGCTGAAGTAGATAGGAATGGTGTTTCCATTTCCCCTGGCCAAGAGTAGGAAACTGTTACTTAAAGGATGAGGAATATTTGGAATAAATCTTCCAGGCAATGTAGGACACCTGGGCCATTCATAATGTATTCAGATCCATGTCTCGGTGAATTAGGCTCCAAAGGGATGAGCTTCACTGAGAGAAATTGTCTTTTCTCATCTGCCATTGCTCCAATGTAAATTCAAAGCACAAAAGTCACATTCATTCAACATCTATCACTAACTCACTGCTCACTATCCTGAGGATGTTGAGTCATTCCTCTCCTTAAATGAAGTTCACACTCAAAAACAAGACAGCACAGGGGGAGGCCATTCATCCCACTGTGAATGAGCCTTTCCCCTTCAATCCAATACTTGGCTCAGATCTGGCATCATACAAATGAATACCCTGCATCTACCCTCCAGAAGACAGATGCAGAGACAAGAATGCCTCTCCCCCAGGCAAGTTGAAGCTCAGACCATTTACAGTATGCAGAATGAAAACAATCACACACAGCAAGGTCCCACAAGCAGCAAACATTGGAGACAGCCTGGGGACGACTGCACTGCCAGTCACAGTTGAATAGCCTCGAGGACTGATTCTTCTTTTCACAACTAAACGACTTTCCCAACACCAAATCACTGTGATTTTTTTTTGATCGTGACTAATAACCACTGCCAGTAATCACCCCTGCAGCCTATTTGAATTCTACATGCAAAGCCCATTTATTATTGGCGGTCCCTCACAGACAAGAATGACTCTCTTCCACTCTCAGGGTGATTCCGTAAGTGGCTATGTGGACTGACGCGGCTATTGCAGGCTGCAGAAGGTGGTCATTTGGGCCAGTGATTCCCAGGTGTTGGTGGGAATGTTGCGCTTCGCCAATGAGGCTTATGAGAGCATCACTGAAGTGTTTCCTCTAGCCATCTGGGCCACACTTCCTGTTTCAAAGCTGGGAGCAGAGCAGCTGCTTGGGGGAGTCTTGTTTCGGTCATGTAGACAACGTGCCATCTGGTCAAGGGTTATCAGTGCCTCCATGTTGGCCTGGTTGAGGA